ATAAGATCCCACTGGTGAGTATTTAGATGAAGGTGCATACCCATAATAGGCTGGAGAAGATGTTACCATGGTTATCAGGGTGATTCCGAGAAGACACTGAATTTTGTTAGGAAAAGAAGGAAAAAATGAGAGTAAATGATTAGGAGAAATTGTTTGATTCCATTTTCACTGATATTCAACTTTTCATTTGATTCATTAATCTACCTTGAACATGATGATGATGATATTTCACTGAACTCAACTGTAGATGTATAAATATGATGAATTTATGGTGATGAATAAACTTCACTTGGATCGATGAATGTTGCCCACTGGTCACTTCGAGAGTTTATTATCGTGATTATAACGGGAAAAGGTTGAAAGTTTGTTTGAAAGATTTTCAATTTGGTTTCAATCTTTTCGGAAGAAAACTTTTTCTTATTCTTATGTAACTTGTATTTACTACAATGGAAACGTTGTTAACTGGTCAGTTAGTTAGTAATGTCCAGTAATGATGAGAAACTGGTCAGCCTTTTATATTATATACGTGCTGGTGGACATTAGCACGGTGAAAATTGTTAACTCTCTCTCTCTCTCGATCTCCTTTCCTGTTTATCTTCAGGACTCCTCCAGAGTTGATCCATGTTGAGGATGATGATGAAAAAAATGATTACAATTATGAATGGGAGGAGGAGTGGACACTGGTCAAGTAAAAGTGTGAAAAGTGAAAGTTGTTTATCATGGTTAACACCATGATTGTGATAGGGTTTAAATTGTTGATTGAGGTCAAGTGTGAGTATATTAAAATGATTGAAATGTAATCCACAATAAGTGGGTAAAACTTTTTTTCTATTACTTTTTATTACAATTAATTTGATAATCTAATTAAATCAATATTCATTTGATTGTCAATACTTTTGCTACCAATTAGAAACTATTTTCATCAAGAAAGACAAAATTTCTGTTAATTGTTAACAATAACTCAGCGGGCAGTTAATTAAATTTGCTCTTGTTGTTGTTGTTGTCATTTTAATCAAATCAATTCGTGGTCAAGTACAATTTAAGTTAAGGGTCAATCAGAACGTTTTTTTTTTGTTGATTAATTTGACAACAAATCAATTGATCAATTTGCTAATCATTTAACAATTTCCAATGACAATTGATTATTAATCTTGATTCGTTCTTCGAGAGTTTTGTTAATTGTTACAATTAACTCAATCTTAAGTATTTAATTGTGATCACAAAGACGATTAGAAATTGTTACAAGTGATTTAAGGTTAAATTTTTAATTGTCTTCGTAAATTTAATCAAATTAAATTGACAATTTATATTAATCATTTCATTTATATGTTTCCGGATGGAAAATTGTTAAAAACTAATTAACTTAACAATCAGTAATAATTTTTCACTTTTAAATCACAATTAATTGAATATTGGATTACTAAATTTGTTTATTGGTTCATTTGACAACAATTTAATTAAATTGTCCAATTTAGTTATTATACTTATATTAATCACAATTAAATTGAAAACTAATTGATTTGATTTCAAATAATTGAAAGTTGGAAAAATTATTTTCAATTTGAATCAATTGTTAGTCTGGAGATTTGTATTTTCCTAATCATTAACTAATAACATGACAATTTGTTTTCTACAATTAACTAATTGTTAACTAATCGATATAAATATATTATTAACATCAAACTGATTTACAATCATTTAAATTTGATTATTAGTTCCAATTGAATGAATAACGAATTGGAATCAAACTGTTACGAGGAAACTTTTTTTCGACAAAAAAAGTTTTCTATTAACTGTTAAGACTTCCTGATGATGATGATGATGATGATGATGAAGATGAAGATGATGACACAGGATGTGCTAATTATCGCATAGTTAATGAGTTTAATTAGACGAAGACAATTAAGATTAGTTGTTTTGTTTAGAATCACAATCAACTTTTTCCAAGGAGAAAAAAAGTTCTAACGAAAATCAATTGGAACTAATTTTTTTTTCTCCTTCGCAATTGTTACAAATTCTGATAATCAGTAAGAATCAAGAAATCATATTGTTAATTAATTAGTTAATCAGTTGATTTGAAATTGATTGACCTGAAAAATGAAATAATCAACCATCAAATTAAAGTTTTCTGATATTTATTAACAATTTAATCAACAACAACAGCAACAATTGATTGTTATATAAATTAGATTTGACTTTTGGTAATCTAATTTATCAACCAATTAACTAAATGTTAATCAACAACCAGTAATACAAATAATGATAACATTGATAATAATAAATGAAAACCAATTAATAATCAAACAGTTTTCATATTAATCAATTGATTTACAATTTAATTTACTCGATGAAAATTTGTAATTCAAAATGAACCATTGATATTGAAAATAGAAGCAATTTAAATTGTTACCAATTAACAATCAATCAAACTTTTCTGGAAGCAACAATTTTTCATCGCAAGAAATTTAATCATAACAATTTCCTGATTACCTGGAAATCAAACTGAATCATAATAATATCAGAATCAATATTATATATCGATAACCAATATAATTGGAAAAGAAAAAATTTCTCATCAATATTTTTCCATGTTAATCATGGAAATGATGATCAACATGATGATCATGATTATCGGTTGAACTTTTTTTCTTCACCTTCTCTTCAATTGAATCTCTCACCATGAGCCTAATCGATTGCAACAATTTACCTTCTCGGTGGTAAAAGTTAATCACAACAATTTAATCGTCTAAACTTAAGAAGCTTAACAATTTAGTTATCATCATTATCACGATGATGATGATGATGATGATGATTAAGATAATGATGATGAGTATCAATAACCATGTCGAAAGCGTGTCGAAGTGTCAACGATTTAATCATTAAATGTACCAAGAAAAAAATGGATCCAAACTTTAATTAAGTTGATGAAATTTTCGTTTAAAAACTAATTGATTGTCATCGGAATCGATTTAATGTTAATCGTTAGTTAATTTAAATTGATTGTTGATCATTTAGTTTAAATACTATTCAATATTTGCGTAAATTGTGGCACAATTAACGATCACAATTTACTTACATTCCAATTAATCGAGTTTTCTGTTTAGAAAGAAAAAGTTTCTTTAACTATTAAAGTTTCTAACGATCATTAATTATCTTAACAATTAACTGTATGTACTTTCTTAATTAAGGTGTGTGTATGTGTGAATTTAATTGTGTTTGTTTCTTAATCATGTTCGCAGTGTAACAATTAAGAGGCTCAAAGATTAAGCCTTAATTTTATCTACTAAATTGTTCAATTGTTTTCTTATGAGCGATTATATTGTTTGTTGAGTTAATTGTTATCAAGAATTAACAAAGTTTATCATTACGAATTAATAATTTGATTACTGTTTCGTTATGATTTGTCTTAATTGTTGTTTAACAATCGTCACAATTATATAAAACTAATTAACATGAAGCTCATCATTGGAATCACAAAGTTAACCATTAAAGGTAAACATCCGGTTAATAATTAAATTAACAATTAAAGGAAGCGAATGAAAAAACTTTCAATTTAAATTGTTACACCAAAATGGTTAAGGGATTAGCAAGGAAAAAAATTGATTGCTGGTTAATTGTTGTTCATTTTTATATACCCAAGGTGATATCAGATTAAAACAATACAAGTTAATTAACCTTTTGATTGTTGATGATTAACTCACTGTGATAATCAAGAAACGTTTATCTGGTTAACTTTATTGTCTTATTTTCATTTTTGATTAAACAATTAGTTTTAATTGTTGGTGTTGTTGAATATGTTGATTGTTCCTGATTATCATCAATATTAATCCAGTTAAATTAAGATGATGATTAATTGTATTGATCTTTCATTGAGATTGCAAATCAGGAAGGGGAAAAATTTTGCTAGACTATCATTACAATTAACTAATCACTTTCTCATCGGTCACGTGACAATTAAAGTTTAATATCTCATGTAGAGACAATCAACTGGATCGATTGTTAATTTAATTGTTTTAACAGTTAATTTTAATTTTAATTTATTGTTTTTGTTTTGTTTTGCCATCATTCAATTGTCACAATACATTAAATTGTTGTGATAATTTCAATATTATATTTTATTTAGATTTGATTAACAGAAAGACTTTAATTATCATAAGTTGATTGCGTTCATTTAAAGTCTCTGTAATTGTGACCATTAACATTGGAAATGATTTAATTTAATTGATTAAAATCAATTGATTGTAATATTATGATAACGAGATAATTTGATTTGTTTTTTTTGTTGTTTCTTATGCTTGAACATTTCGGTAAATTTTGGAAAGACAATTAAACTAATTAAACCTTTTGTTTGATGATTAAATAAAATGCTAATTAATTGCACTCTAAATTGTAAAATTTTGATTAACTAACTATAATTGTATCTGATTTTTGATTGTTAACATTTACTTTCTTTTGTACATATTGTTACTTATGTAATAATATAATGTTAACAAATAGCATTTCATTTTCATCAACAAGGTTAAGGTTAATTGTGCTGATAAACTAAATATTGTGTAACAATTAACACAAAAAATTATGATTTGTTGATCATTTTTGATTACAGGCCAACAATTTCATCAGGTGTTGATCGGCACGGGATGATTAAATTAATTATATTAACGTTTTTTTTGTGCAAAATAAATGATAAGCTTTTGAGTTGAGCTTTTTGTTTTGGGTTGAAATTATAACAATGTTCATTAATTGTGCTCCTTAATTGTTGATCTTAATGATTGGGTTGTAATTGTTTCAAGCCAATTTAATTGAGATTAATTTAAATTGTGTCCATTCAATTGATGTGTAGTTGTCATGTCATATGTCATGTGTTCAGCTATTGGAATGATATTTTTGTTTAAATATGAATTTTGGTTTCGTCTTTTCTTCTCGTTTCCTTATGTGAGTGTTGATAATTAACTAATTGCTCTCGTTTATTGGGGATAAAGTTGATTTTGCGTGAGTTTCAATTAACATGGAGTAAGAAGGGATAATGAATCTCTTGGATGTCCGGATAAACATTGAGCCTCCAATTCACGGGGATAAGCAAATCGTTCCGGAGCTCTAATGTATTCCAATTGAATTTCGGGATCGGTACCTTCCAACGACATGGCCTTTCGAATGGGAAACCAAGTCCAATCATTTTTCTCCATTAATTTGAACACGTAAGTTTCGGGTCCAGTAAATTCAGTCTTAGGTTTAGTTCGTAAGAGTATCATGAAGTAAAGATAATGCCACATATGATGTTCACGGGCAATGTGCTTCTCAAAGGAAACACCGGCACGATTATCGAAATCAGCTCGTGGCAGGCCACAAATGAAACAAGTATTTCTAAGGATATCCTCTTTCTTTTGCTTCTCTTGACGGAGATCGGCAAAAGTGTCAATGATGATACCAAAGAATAAGTTGAGAATGATAACATTGATGAAAAAATAGAAGAAAAGTTCATAAATAACACGACCATAGTAGAGACTTTCTTGCGAGGATGCAGGTCGAAGGACATCGCCAATACCTCCACCCGATCGAAGGCCATAGTTTATGGTGGTAATCAAACATTGGAATAAAGTTTTACAAGAGTATTCGGTTGCTTGACTTTCCTCTTCATTATCTTGTGGTACATATTCCCGTCGAAAGTCAAAATTGAAGTAAAGATAACCAAAAGTGGCCGCAATGTGTATCAAGATTAACGCCAATAAACAGGTCAAAAGTAAAGACTTTGAGTTTCGTGTAACCGATCGTATAACATTTCTTAGAGTCTCCTCTTGATAAATAACGTGAAGCAAAAGGGCAGAATAAAAAAGCGGATGAAACAGTCCCAAGGTACAAAAGGTCAGATAAACGCAGTGATAGATCAATTCATAGTCCATTAGATTGTTTAACCAGCCCCGTCGATACCCACGATTGATAAAGAAACTAAAAAGATAGACAATAGTAATTATAATATCCAATATACCACAGATATAAATGACCGCTTGTGGACCAATGGTATGAACTAGAAGCCACGTTGTGAGAACAACGGTTAAACGGAAGGCGCCGTCAAAAACTAGATCAAGTGACCTTTTATGAGTTCCAAACAGATATAACCAAAGACCAATGACTAGGCAGGCCAAGTATGACCGATGTTCAAGTCCAACGGGAGTCTCACCAAACGGATAGTAAGAGATCACAATCAGATTCAATAGAACCGCTAATTGGAAAGAAAGAGAGCCCCATTTGGACATGTAACGGCTAATTGCGTGCGAAAGCCGTTTCTTTGACTGAAGGTCACGTTGCCATTCCATCTCGGCCTGGAGAATGTCAACTTGACGGAAAAAATCAGGAACTTTGGAACGAGCTTTCTCATCAAGTTCAGTTCGGTGGAGAACTTTTTTCTTTGTCTCTTCCGTGAGGAAATGGCATTGTTCGGGTACCGCGAATACGATAAACTCAACTCGCTGTTCGGGACTATCACGTCGGACAACCTCAACTTGGGCAGTTTTTTTCTGAAAGAAAGCGATCGCATCACGACAGTCCTCTTGTTTTTGCTCTCGGTTGATTTGCTCGTTCAATTGGACTGAATATCGTTGACACTGGTGACATAGAATGTAAATATTATGACCAACTTCAATCTCTTTCACCTCTTCTGATTCCTCGCCATCTTTAAGAGCTGAAGGGTTACCTCGATGAGCTTCCGTTTCCATGAATTTCTTATACTTTTGATAAATCTCACAGGAATGATGGATAAGGTTGGCGTCCACAATTTTGGTAACTATTTCGGCGAAATCAATATCCGATCGTGATTCAATAATGGCCAGTAACAGTTTGGAAGCGTTAATCTTGAGCGATCTAACATCTTCCATGTACTTAGAGTCCAATTCTGCTCGATTTTTAATCAATGTAATGATAAATTCAATTCCATTGCTTTCACATTTAGCGATACAATTTTGATTCTCATGACATGGACCTTGACAATATTCAATCAGCGTTTTAACGGTTTGGTTGAAAAGGCCAACATTTTCCTCGTTAAGATAATTACCATCGATTGTTTTAGTCTTATGTGAGCCACAAAGTTTGATCAAGAAT